TTTTATTTTTACAAAAAAAATGCAAAACGTGTCCACATCTGTTGACCGCGTGTCGGATACGGTCAAATTCGCGTGTCCCACTAGTCAACGTGTCATAAAAAGTCAACCACGTGTCGGACGCGTGTCCGAACGTGTCCGTGTCCGACACGTGTCGGACACGCATTTTTTCTCAAAAAAGGCGTGTCCGTGTTTCACAGGTTGGGAGCATGGTGCATAGTTCTTTGATTCAATGAAGATTGCGTTGCTCTTGCTGTCAAGGCATCAATACCCAGAAGTGCAGCGTGAATTTGCTGCAACAGATTCTTGATATTGGAGAACAAAGCTTGATTTTCAACGAGACCTTGCTCCATTCACGTTAGCATCTTGAACGAAAAGATTGGTGTGTGTTCAAAAATGAAAAGATTTAGGGATGGTGGAGACTCGGACTCCTACTCATCCATGATGTAGAATGAAAGCACTAGTGATAAGGGACTAGCCCTAACAGAGTAACAGAGAACAAGAAAGAGTAGAAAAGAAGATTATTCTATTACTTTTTTGAATGAATTTTCAAAAGATACAAGAGTCCCCTATTTATTAACTACCCGGCCTAACTAACCACTAATGCAATGCCACATCCACACTTCTTTAACAGAAGACTACTCACAAGATTACTTATTAACAACTCCTCTAGCTATACACCTTTACAAATCAGTATTAACAAAGCTATTGCTATTACCTAGCAATTATGGAAGATGATATCGTAACACAATGATCGTGCACGTAATGGATATTATGTATCACAAAGGAATGAAGACCCTTTAATCAGTGGTTTAAGCATTATAGAACTTGAAGCTCATTTAGATTCATTCAGTGCCATATTAGTGCAAGGCCTATAGCTGGTTTTTGTGTTTGTTTTACAGTAGAAAATCGATATGCACTAGCGGACCAGGATTTTTTATGATAGGAGATAGAAAATAAAATATCAAAATTATAAGTGTTATTAAAAATAATATGATGAACTAATTATTACATATTTTTTAAGGAGGGGCTAAATATTAGCATCAATAATCTATGATTATTATTATTATATAATAATAATAATAATAATAATAATAACAATAAAATCAAAAAACGTAAAGGAGATGGTAGAAGGTAGAAACGTAAATCGTAAAAACGACATGAAACGTAAAGTTTCTACTACTTAAGGTCAAGATACACTATATATATATATATATATATATATATATATATATATATATATATATATATATATATATATGTGTGTCATATAAATCACTATTCAAAATTCAATGAACAATTTCATATTTAAAATATATAGGGGTGGCAATTTGGGTTGGTCCGCCCCGTCTCGCCACCAACCCGCCAAAAACGGGGCGGGGTGGGTTGACTCAGCCAAAAAATATTGGTTGGAAAAATGAACCTACCCCATTTTATGATGAGTTGGCGGGTTGACGGATCAATCCACCAACCCGCCAATTAAAAAATTAATTAAAATTTAAAAATAAATTATATTTTATTAATTTTTTCAATATTATTTTGTTTTATTTCACACTTTTCTATATTTTTTTAGTGTCAATCTTAAATGTAAACTAATATTTGTCAAACATTCTTTAGGAATTTATATATAGATAACATTTGTCATAAATAAAATTGTTATTCTTTATTTTTTCTAGGAAGTACTAAGATAAAAAAAAATTGGATATCACAAAAATTTAAGGACTAATGAAATAGTACCTAATTGTAAAAAAAAAAAAAAAAATTATAACCCGGCGGGTCAACCCGCCCCGCGACGGGTTGAACCTGTTTTGACCCACTTCTAGGTGGGGCGGGTTGAGATGGGTTGGTGGATTGAAAATCTCAACCCAACCTGTCCCGTTTTAGCGGGTTAGCGGGTTGACCCGTCGGGCTCAACTCATATTGCCACCCTTAAAAATATATAAGTCACATAAATATATAAGATATAAGTCCAAAAACATCAAAAGAATAAAGTTTAATAGCTCTTAAATTATATCAATTGATTCAAATCAAACAGATCATGCATTAGTTGCATGTTCTCTTCTCTTGCTTCTATAACAAATTTATTGGTAATAATACGTAATAGATTGATTCAAAATCCACCTCAATTTGGTATTCAAACTTTTCATCAATGGCTTCACCCTCTTATTTCTCGGCAATAGCGACCTCGTGTGAGGGTTTTTTTCCAAATAATTAGAAGAAGATACTGTGCATTTTGATTTGGGGGAAATGGAAATAGGTTTTTTTTTTTTAAAAAATTAAAAATAAAATTGTGTCATGGGTTAAAAGTTGACCTGGTTCAAATTTATTTTTATTCTTTTTGTATAAGATCCGATTCAGTTTTTTGGTTTAAGTAAAAACGTACCGTTCTTATATTTTTATATTGTGTTTTTACCAATTTTTATTGAGGAGAATTTTTACTTATGTTTTACATGTATCACTTCAATAAAAACGTAATTTTTACGCCAACTTTTGACAACAATGTATGCCATTATAGCCTGTCTTGCTTGAACAAGATGCATGGCAACTATTTTCAATGTACAATGATTATTTGTGCATAAAAATGGGGAGAGACGAACCTCTCTTGCGGGTGTCCTCCTAAGCCTTTAGGCATGGCCTTTCATATTAGGCCTGACCATAGCGCCGGCCAATTATACTGGCCGGAACAATTATTTATCAAATAAATTCGTCTGCTATGACCTTATTTTAGCCACTCGAATATTAATAATTAGATATTTTAAAAATTCGTAAACCTCTCGAATTTTCTGCATTCTTCTAACACGAGTTTGTAACAATTGTTTGTGGTGTTTTACTTATTGCTTTATTATTCTTCGATCCATACAATGCATGCTAGCTTTGCTCAAATTAAACTCTCAGTGCCGTCGTGCTGCAGAATTAATTAGCATATTGAGAAAGATAATAAAATTAGAGAAAAATTATACTTATAAAAATTTTTTTACAACCTCTTACAATTATATCTTAACACCGTTGATTTCTCCCAATAAACGGTTACGATTTCTCAAATTAAATTCATTAATTAATTATTGATTCACAATAAATGATAACCGTTGATTGGCGAAAATCAACGGTGTTAAAATATGGTTGTAAAAAAAAATTGTAAATATAACCTTCCTCATGAAATTATTATAAACCTTCACCCAAAAGCTTAAAATAGAAAAAATATCATTAAATTTCTTTGTCCTTTATTTGTTGCGTCATTTTAGCTTTTGCTTGTTCATAACGCAAACGGTTCCAAGGAATCAAAGTGTGGCCAAAAATAAAAGGACAGAGATAGCTTTAGTCAATATTGGCTGCTAGCAATCTAGCATGAGCAAGGATGCACAATGTCGCTGGTGTTTTGTCAAATATTAAGGGAAAAACACTTCTTAGGATGCTGTTGCATGAGAAAGCGTTTTTTCATATTGTGAGTCTTTAATTTACGTCAAATTTTTTTTTAATAAGTGAGGGGTCTAAAATAAGTTGAATCACAACATAAAAATTCAATTCTCATACAATATGAAAAAATCAAAGCCCAAATATTAATATAAAAACTGCACATGTGCTTTGGCCAACAATTCAAGCTTTTCACATAATTGGTTGCATGACATAAAGTCTGTTTATATTTTTTTTTTAATTTAGAAATTACTTTAAACTAAAGTTAAAGAAAAAATAAAAAAAGTTAAAAATTATTTGGTGATTATATAAAAATTTTAACTTAAAAACACATATTTCAATAAAATCTCTCTCATTTTATCTCATAGCTCTTCGTTTAAAAAAAAATACATAATTCAAGAAAAATTGATAAGAGCTTAAAAAAAATTCCTTCTAGGAACTTTTGGCGTTTAACTTTTTTCTTCATTATAAAAAAAGAGCTTTTCCTCATATAAGTTTTTCTCAAAATTTGATTGGCCTAATTTCTACTTATAAATAGCTTCTATCTTAAAAAAAAAAATAGAATTCAAACAGGTAGATAGTATAAAAGCCTTTATGACCAAAGTCATTAAGATTCCTTTCTTACAGTCCCATTCTTCTAACGAATATTATGAATTTGAAAATGGATCTTCTCACGTGAAAAGTGATCATGTGGTCATGTTATTTGATCCCAATCACTTATTTAAAAATTATATATTTTTCTCTTTCTTATCTCTTCATCAATAAGTAACTATGATCAAATAACATGACCACTTTTTCACATGAGATGATCTATTCCTATGAAATTTGAGCATGTTCAGCGTTTGCAGGAGGGATTGTGTCAAAAATATAAATATAAAAACCATATATGTGCCTTCACCTGCTTAAGTTTTTGGAACAATTGATTCGTGACATGTTCTTCACAATGTTTGTTTCCCATGACATATAACCTTCAGGTTTAGCTAAATGTTTGTGTTTTATGTGAAAAACAATGGACACAAGATCAAGGTAGGAATTGAAGTTGGAAGCACCACCGCAATATTATGTGACCTGTTCTTAGCTCTCTATTTCATATGCAGAAGAGGAAGAAAGGCCACCGTGAAATGTAAGACTACTTTTTCATCTTGATATACTTAAGCATCTTCTTCTGGATTACGTACGTTAGTTGACTTACAATACATTATGGTGACAAGGCTTATTTATAGCATTTTCTTTAGATCATTGTAGTCCAACTACATAGTTCTAGTGACTTCGTCTGATTTGTCTACCTAATGTTTCTAGATTTTTGTTATTTCCATAATTTGGGCTTGGGTTGTCCAAATATGTACCAAATATGTACCTAGCTAGCTGCATGAAGAGAATTTCATAAATACATAAATAGTAACTATTGCTAAATCTTTTTTCTTTGGATAGCGGATGGGGCTTTCACGTGATTGGAATTGTGATGAATCAAAGAACTTGAACTAACTATAACACAACTTCATTTGAGTAAAGAGAATGCATAACCAACAGATAAAGTACTTAAGTTAGCTATATCCATATTATAATAATTACATAGAACCATATTATAAAGGTTATTCCAAAGTTTCATTTTCCATGACAGTGGCCGCAGCACCAACTACAGGTTTTCCAGAATTAGAAACCAAAGTGATCAAAAAGTCAAAGATATCAGTGGTCATAACAGCAGAGGCCACATCCTCTTTGTGCAAGGTTCTCCTTTTGCCTTGGATGACCATGATCCAAGACCTTCTTGTAAGCTCCTCAATGAAGAGTTCACAAGCCTTTGAGAAAACAATGGGAGCTTCCCCTGATATCATTTTCACATCCTCCCCAGATTTCTTCATGATCTTCTTGATCCTTGCTAAGGGAAGAGAATGAGGCCCTGTCCTTCCTGATATGCCACCACATAGTAACCCTGAATATGCACCAGCTTGTCTCATATTGTTATTCTCTTCTTTTCTTTCTGTTTCTGCTTTAAATTCAACTTTATATGTCTCTGAGATACTCTTTAAGTTGCAGTATCAGTGTCAGTTTCAGTGTTATATATACAAAAACTTCATGGCAGAAGCATGCCATTAACGTGGCCGGCCATGCCTGCTTTAGCCGGCTAATTGAAAATTCTAATAAATAAATCAGAGAGTATGCATTCTTAATTAGACTCTATGACTCCAAGACTTGTTTTTATTTGTTTATTTATAAATGTGTGTAAACAATCATACAATCGACAACGTCATCGTGATTGTGTGGTAACAACATCAACTTTCCGTTGTCTAATTTGATTGAGTCACGTTTGAATGATTCAATATAATGTACAAACTACCAAAAACTAAAAAATTAGAGACAAAGATACTTAATTTGATAACTTTAGAATAGTTCAATGCATACACATATCATCTACTAATCTAAATATCTAATAATCATATAATATAAAGGGTTTTATTAGTGTTATGTTACATGATTTAAGTGTTGTTTCCAACACACACACAAAAATAGAGAGAGAAAGTGGAATGATGAAAGAGAAAGGAAAACATGTGGACCCCACCTCTTTAATGTGTGTGTAAGAAAGTGATGTTATATCATGTTACATGATAAACATAAAACCCTAATATAAACACTGAACAAAAGTAAAACTGATAAATATACCTAAAATGTATTCTGAAGAATAGGACTTTTAACTTAGTTAGAATTGCCTATCAGAGGAGTTTAAATTATAGAAGATTATTATTGGGTCTCACACCTTGTCTAGTTTTGAGGATAATAAATAAGTGAATTATCTAATCATTTGTTTAGTTTTTGAAAGTTTATGTAACAGATCACACTATGAGATTGGACCAATTTTAATTTTTTAAAAATTAGTCACATTTTAGACATAGGTAAATAACCATTGCTAAGTTAAAGATATAAAATTTAATGGTTGGCGCTAGCTAAATTTTTTTGGCCCTAACTTATTAATCTTGCTTGCTTCGCCACCTGATAGGATAGCAAAATTTATTTATTTACTTATTTTCTCCAATTCATCCCTATAAAATAAAGCATAGATCATTCGTGCTTTATGCCTAAACCACTCCCCATCCACAGTGCCCTTGTGATAAAATATCCCTAGAATTGTTAAAATTTATGTTGACAATCTATTGGTTATGAATAAGAAGCAGGTTAAGGAAAAAAAGAGAAAAGGGAAGTTGAAGGAGTGTGTGAATTTAAGAAGTCCCACGTTTGACAACTAGTAGGAGGTGTGAGAGTTTATAAGCTCCAACCTCACTCTCCTAAAATGGCCCTTGGGTCACTAAACATTTTCTGGAAGGGGAGGACCTAGGTGGACTTAGGTTCACCACACACACGCGCGCCACCGCCATCCGGCCGGTTCGGTTCGGTTCATATATGTAATTTAATTTTTTGTCCAAAAATGCCCCTGGACTATCCGTTGCTTCCCGCCGATTTTTTGAACATTTTTGAACTGAACTGGTTGCACCCGTTCACGGCCGTCAGTCACGATGGTTCATCGTGACCGGTCAGTATCTATAAATAGACACTGACCCCCCTAGAAATCCTATCCAATTTTTTTCACTGAAATTCTGCCAGAATTTTTCTTCCCTCCCGGTTTGCATATTTCTGTTCTTCCTCCGGTGTAATCCCTCTAGCATATTGTTGTGTTCGTTTTGGCTTTTGACTGGTAGTGCCGCCACTCTTCAGACTAAATATGTTCTACCCTGGGAGAAAAGTGTCCATCGACCTTTTATAACGCCTGGCCACTTGCAAGAATCAATGATTGTCCCCACACACTAACACGAGACTTTTCAGTGTGCTTTGTCCTCACTCGCACACTTCCCAGGAAAACTTCCAAGGAGGACACCCATCCCAGAATTGCTCCAAGTCAAGCACGCTTAACTGTGGAGTTCTTCCGATCCGGGCTACCGAAAAGTAGATGCATCTTGTTAGTATAGGTAGTACTAATTAATTCTTCTAAGTCATTCCTAACTGTACCGTCCCATACCAGCACAGTCTCTGGAATCCCTCTCTTTCGGGTGTTGATTTGATTCATTCATGAACCCCCAAGCTGCAAGATTTGGCATGAGCCGCTCATTGTCCGTGCCCTTTCACACCAGCGATCACTCCTTGCCCTTGTCAGCTCTTGGGATGTTACATGCCCACTAGCTTCCGCCTGGTTTGTCCTCGAACCACACCGTACTGGAAGAGAGGCCCTGCTCTGATACCACTTGTAACGCCTGACAACTTGCAAGAATCAATGACTGTCCCCACACACTAACACGAGACTTTTCAGTGTGCTTTGTCCTCACTCGCACACTTCCCGGAAAAACTTCCCAGGAGGTCACCCATCCCAGAATTGCTCCAAGTCAAGCACGCTTAACTGTGGAGTTCTTCCGATCCGGGCTACCGAAAAGTAGATGCATCTTGTTAGTATAGGTAGTACTAATTAATTCTTATAAGTCATTCCTAACTGTACCGTCCCACACCAACACAGTCTCTGGAATCCCTCTATTTCGGATGTTGATTCGATTCATTCATAAACCCCCAAGCTGCAAGATTTGGCATGAGCCGCTCATTGTTCGTGCCATTTCGCACCGGCGATGACTCCCTACCTTTGCCAGCTCTTGGGATGTTACATGCCCATCAGCTTCTGCCTCGAACCACACAGTACTGGAAGAGAGGCCCTGCTTTGATACCACTTATAATGCCCGGCCACTTGCAAGAATCAATGACTGTCCCCACACACTAACACGAGACTTTTCAGTGTGTTTTGTCCTCACTCGCACATTTCTCGGGAAAACTTCTCAGGAGGTCACCCATCCCAGAATTGCTCCAAGTCAAGCACGCTTAACTGTGGAGTTCTTCCTATCCGGGCTACCGAAAAGTAGATGCATCTTGTTAGTATAGGTAGTACTAATTAATTCTTATAAGTCATTCCTAACTGTACCGTCCCATACCAGCACAGTCTCTGGAATCCCTCTCTTTCAAGTGTTGATTCGATTCATTCATGAACCCCCAAGCTGCAAGATTTGGCATGAGCCGCTCAATGTCCGTGCCCTTTCGCACCGGCGATCACTCCCTGACCTTGCCCGCTCTTGGGATGTTACACCTTTGGCATCAGTGAGGGGGGAAATATGCAAAGTGCTAATCAACCTTCTCGCCAAGCCACTCAACATCTTAGCAAACTTCCTTGCGATTTCTCCTTCTCATAGTCGACATCTTTTACTTCAAATGTGTGCGATCAGGCCCAGTCCAATATTTTTAGGATTGAACATTTGCACCGCTAAGGATGCTTTCAGGTTGGTACAACGAAATCACATGTAAGAGAAGGCATCTGAAAGGGAGGAAGAGCGTTCCTGCCAAAGATCTAAATTCTTAGCCTCTTCTTCCCACTCCATATCAGCCAATCCTTCCATCAAGGGACCTACTTCCTTCCCTTTTTGGTAGAAGATTGATGGAAGGTATTCCTATCCTTCTCCCCACTTTGCGACATCGGTTGTGGACAAAGTAGTTGTAGTTATATCGAGATGTGCAGCTTTTCTTTTCTTGATTTTCCTCCTTTTGCTTGGTTCTATTTTAAATTTATTTTCTTTCTCGATGGAAGAAGAGGATGCATCAATTGGACCTAAAATTGGGCAAGGATAGGAGCGAACAGGAGTCTTAGATCTCGCTTGGTCCTGCACCAAGATCTCTAGCGAATGTAATTATGGTCTACTAGTACCTTCACCACCAGGTGCAGCTTCATCTCTTTTCTTCACCAAAAGTTCCATTATTTGTAGCATGCTCGATATCTCGTTATCTGCAAAAAATTCAAAATAAGGCATTATAGCATAACTAGTAAGAATGCAGCCAAAAAATTAAGTGTGGGGTCATAAATGAATGCTACATGCATAAACTGATTCCTGCCAAGGAAGACCTTTACATTATCATCAGTATGATTTGAGAGGATAGTTTACGCGCTTAACAAACCACCATCTGTGGAGTTATAAGCAATGTCACACAACTTTGTCACAGTCATGCTCTCAGGCTTATTCAAGTCATCATACTCATAACTCAACTTATGAAAATCTTCAGGGTCATTGCACTAACACAAGGGAAAGAGAGGGAGACATCCTTATAATCTAGCAAGAAGTGATGACAATCTTGTACGGGATACACCTTGAAATAATCCCTTTTCCAAGAATGAATTTTGTTTGAATACGCCTCACAAAATTGAAGGTTTGGTTCTTTCTGAATGAAACCCAGCTCTTACAGGCTTCGTACACTCTAAACAGACACAGAAAGGATTGAACAGAAGGAAAGAGATTATATGCTTTGCATAACATCTCGTAAACACAAATAAACCCCCATGGATTTGGATGTAGTTGTGAAGGGGTGACATAAATCTGATATAAAAGATTATTGACGAAAGAAGAGAAAGGAAAAAGACAACCTAAAGTAAGGAAGAAGAAGTTGTACATCATCAGAAAGTGTTTGGTCCTCGTCCAAGCAAGATGAACAAACACACTCTTCGGAGGGAATAGGGGAAATCTGCCACTCAGGGTCAGCAGCTTTATCTTGTTTGAGGTGAATAGTGGCAGAAAGCTCCGCAACAGATCCAGTTGTAGGATATTTTGAAACCACCTTTTTTACAACATCCCGGATACCCATGCGAGACTATCTACATCTCGCAAAGCACTCCTCTCTGGAAATTGACGACGGCTCATAACAACCCCGATAGATGATAACTTGCCAGTCTTATCAGTCTTGCATTTTTTCAAAGGATAACTGGTGAGATAAATAATATTTAGAGGAACATGATTACAATTTCGATGGGGACTCAATTCAGAATTTGATCTATCAAAAATGATTATAGGACTTTTAGAGGATGAGGGAATATGAGTACTGGACCAGCTTGCTCATGCATATTGCTTTGTTGGGATTGAACTCGGGGCAACCCGCGAGATTCCCTATGCCAAGATGAAGCTATAGCCCTTTTAAAGCCTTGAGAAGAAGAACCCCCTTCATACCCTCTAAGTGAAGGGGGAAAATCCAGAGCATTTCGGCTTTCTCCCGTGACGAAATTCCTTCTCCAGTTAACCACCATTCTCCAGTATTGTGAGACCTGGCAGCACAAGGCCTAGGTGCTTGCCTAGGTTCTGGACTAGTCGAACCTGACCTCTCCATTATTCTAAAAAAAAGCAGAAAAAGGGTGTTCATGAGACATTCTCTCAAATGGGTGGTAAACTCCTCACAAACACAAAACCAAAAAAGAGAAACCCAGAAACGAAAAATTACCCAGAAGGAACGAACTACTCCACACAGTAAATGAAAGTAACAATGCAAAAGACTTAAAAGTTTCAATACTCAGATTTCTAGAAATAGAAGAGAATGAAAAAAAACAAAAGAAAGAAAGTACCCGGTATTTATACTTGAGGTATGTTGAAGTTCAATGAAGTTTTTCTCTAAAGCAGCTTACTCACTTATAAAAGTGTCACGAAAACAAATTAACAAGGGAGGTAAGGGAGAGCAACTATGGAAGAGGAGAGAGCACTATCAAAGGAGAAGAAAACACAAAGCAACCAAACGTAATGGTTCCTTCCCAAACCCTCAAGGTTAACATATGAAAAGTAGTCGAAAGGTATATGTGTAAAAACACATAAAGGTGACACGATAAAACAAATGAGTGGGACACGCGTCAGCAGAAGACCAAAAGGTTAATACATTAACCCACACGAAATGAAGGCTGCATTTAATGCTTCTGATAGTTTAAAATCACATCAACCGTCTCTTAAGCGATGAAATGCCGGATTACCAAAACCCACTCTAGTGTATATCCTACGAATACGTGGCAGTATCTCACCACAAGTAAAATATCTCGCATAAAGAATACATCTCGCTTCTCATGCCTACAACATAAGTAGCAAGATGTGGGACATCTGATTTGAACCTACTATATATGAGATAAAACCTCAATCTCATAAAGGCCCAAACGACCCAGAAACCCCTGTGACTTGATCACAAAGGCAACCCATCTCGCGTAGAAAGCATGGGATCTCGCTTACTTGATTAGCAAGCCAACATGACTTAATCTGAAAAGAATCATCATCGCCGAGATCACCAACTCAGGCAAGCTGACCACCATGTGAACCCAATGATTGAATGGCATCTCCTGCTTGCCACTACATCTAACAAATCTACTCTGAACATAGGTTTTCCCACCAAGGAATAACCTGAGAGAAGTCACCTCTCTCCACTAATGAAAGTGAAAATCTTCCTACGTAAGGCGGTATGAAATAAGACACTCAAACACTATAAATAAGAGGTATTTAGCCCAAGTATAATATTTCTATTTGAATACTTGAACCTCCTTGAATAGTGAACTGACTTGATCATCGTAGTGCCGTTGCAGGTACCCCTAGTCGCTCGCAAACTGCCTAGATACACAAAGTGCTGATCAACCGTCTCGCCAAGCCACTCATCATCTCGGCAAACTTCCTTGTCATCTCTCCTTCTCTTTGTCAATATCCTTTATTTTAAGTGTGTGTAATCAGGCTTAACCCAATATTTATTGGATCGATTAGTGCCAAAGGCTCTAAATAACATAAGAGGTTCCATTTTGATCCCATTTTGTTTGACATTTATGCACTGATTTGGACGTTAAGAATTTCTTACTTAATAATACCTATTATAGTTTTACCTTAGTAATGATGGTTTTACATTATTTTTTGCTCTAGGAAAATACAAATCATTGATTTAGAGAGAGAGAGAGAGAGAAAGAGACAGAGAGAGGCGAGGAAATGGGTGATCAAAATGGTATTATGTAAATCATGTGACAGGGAATGACGTAAAAGTAACGTAACTCTAAAGTCAAAAACTCTCATAGCTTCATCGTTTTCGCACGTGTTTGCAGGCCATTTGATATGACGAGAGAAGGAAGACGATAATATGAAGAAACCACAACTTCACAACTTGCGATCAAACCAACCAAAATTGTCTGTCTATATATTTGTTCGATTTTATAAGAGTTATTTTGTAAGAAAAGTGATTGTGTAATGTTATAGAGATTTGTTTTTCGTGTTTAATTTTTTTTTTTTGCTTTAGAAAGTGTGGGCCCCACAAAATATTATTGTGTGTGTAGAAAATTTGTTTGTGTCATGTTAAAGGACAAACTAAAACCCCATATTTGTTATTAGAGAAAATATTTTTTTTTATCCTCAGCAAATTTCACGATATCCACTTTAGTGTCTAGCAAATAAAAAAGTTATTCGTGGTCCTTATGAAATTCAAAATGGATCCATTTAGTTGAAATCGTAGTCCTTCACAAATTTAAGAAAAACCCACATTAGTCCCTCAAAAGGACTAAAATGGGTTCACTTTAAATTTTTTATGGACCACGAATAATTTTTTTATTTGCTAGGGACTAAAGCTAGCATCATAAAATTTGCAGAGGACCGAAAATAGTATTTATTTTGTTATTATTTAAAGTCCCTACATCTTTTTCTTTTCTTGCACGTCATTCTTTCGAAGAAGTCTATGTAAATTGACTATATAGCTTCTTCTCCTAGACCAAAAGTGGTAAAATATAAATAAGGTCATTAGTTATTACCAACTCCCATCATCTAGAGGCACCAACATGATCATTTGGTAATACTCCTTGGATCCAGGTACATGTAAAAGAAACTAATTAATATCTTATGTACAAGGCTTTTTAGATTTAGGTAAAATTTTAAAATATATTCAAAATCAAAAAAGTAATATAAATAATTAAGTTAAAAGAGAATTCTGAAAATTCTCTTTCTTCATCATAGGATTACCGTTTCAGAATCAACTTGGCAGGTTTTGACTTTGGAATCAGAAGTTGCAATCAGTAGAACTGCTTAAGCAATATTTCAACCTTGCAAATTGTTCTTCCCCACTCCCACTACACCCACCTAAAAGTGTTTCTGACTCTGCTACTTTTCTTCTCTTCAATCCTGTGTCTCTTGAGTGTACAACTTTGTTTCTGGGTGTCAGTGCACTTTTCTGAACTTTTAATATTGTCACAACCACCCCCAACATGTTTGATTTAGAACAATTAATATGCCTGTCCAGAACCAACCTCATGTTTCGTATTTTATAATTACTATATGAGTCTCTCTCTTTTTTTTTTCCCTCTTATTTCTTTATATGCAGATCATTTAAACAAGCAACATGAATGTAGCTAAATTGCATAGTTCTTCAATTGTTACAATTTAATTGGCACTATGTCTTTCATGAGAATCATTTTCCTTGCTTTTCATATACTTGCCCATCTTTCTGAAATTTCCTTAGCAGTTGACTCCATTTCTCAGTCCCTTTCCCTAAGTGATGATGGCAAAACCTTAGTTTCCAAAGGTGGAACCTTTGAACTAGGATTCTTCACCCCAGGAAATTCCCAGAAACGTTACCTGGGGATTTGGTACAAGAAAATCCCAATTCAAACAGTGGTTTGGGTTGCAAACCGGGTCAACCCAATCAATGATTCATCTGGAATCTTAAGATTAAACATCAGTGGGAACCTTGTCCTCACCCAGAATGACACTGTTGTTTGGTCTACTACAACAACATCTCTGAGAAAACCAGTGAGTCCTGTAGCCATGCTCTTAGATTCTGGCAATCTTGTGGTAAGAGATGAGAAAGAAGCAAAGACTGAAGCATACTTGTGGCAGAGCTTTGATTATCCAACTGATACTTTCTTACCAGATATGAAGTTTGGTTGGGATTTGAGAACTGGTCTTAATAGGAATATAACAGCTTGGAAGAGTCCTGATGATCCATCTCCTGGAGATTTCTCTTTTGGTATGGTGCTAAATAACTATCCTGATGCATATATGATGAAGGGTAACAAAAAGTTCTACCGAAGTGGACCATGGAATGGCCTACATTCAAGTGGTTCACCACAGGTAAGGGACAACCCCATTTATGACTACAAGTTTGTTTTCAATAAGGATGAACTTTACTACACATATACCCTCAAGAACTCATCTATGATCTCAAGATTAGTATTGAATGGAACAAACTATGTTCGTAGACGGTATGTGTGGATTGAATTAACACAAAGATGGGAGGTTTACACATCAGTGCCATTGGACTTATGTGACACTTATGCCCTTTGTGGAGCTTATGCAAATTGTGTTATTTCTGATTCACCAGTGTGCCAATGTCTGGAAGGGTTCAAGCCTACGTCACCTCAAGCATGGTACTCAATGGACTGGTCTCAAGGATGTGTCCGCAATAAGCCATTAAGTTGCAAGGACAAGCGTAAAGATGGATTTATCAAATTGAGTGGCCTTAAAGCGCCTGATACTACACATACTTGGCTGGATCAAACAATTGGTTTAGAGGAATGCAGAACCAAGTGTTTGGATAACTGTTCTTGTATGGCATATGCAAATTCAGATGTCAGTGGACAAGGGAGTGGCTGTGCCATGTGGTTTGGCAATCTAATTGACATGAGACAGTTTGCATCTGGAGGACAGGACCTATATCTTCGAATGGATGCTTCAGAATTAGGTAGGTACTTAGCTTTGCCATTTATTAGTCCTTCAAACAAACAAAATTTGTTAGAATCCTTTTTTTATCTTTGAATATGTAAGTTCCCTTTATAAATTTGTGATTTAACCATAGTTTGTTTGATCAAATTTAATTAGAACATGTCAGTCATGGCCACAAGAAGGAGGGAGTCCTAGTTGCTGTGACAGTTTCTCTGGCCGTGGCAGCAGTTTCTGGTATACTCATACTTGGTTGGTGTTATAGACAAAAGTCACGCTCCAATGTAAAAGGTGACATTCACATTTCAGTTCCTCTTCTCAAAAGAAAAATAAAAATAAAAATGTCTAGATTGCTTTATTAATGTTTATAGCATTGTATTAGATGTACCCATATAGTCATATAACATTGCAGTAATATACATATGCTGCCATGCTTATCATATTAATCTGAAACCACCCACTAATAATTTGTCAGAGAAATTAGACTTCAATATCAAAGAAGAACAAAACAGTAGAATGCAAGTGGATGATATGGATCTACCAGTCTTTGACTTGTCAACAATTGCTAAGGCCACTAGCAACTTTACAATCAAGAACAAAATTGGCGAAGGAGGTTTTGGACCTGTATACAGGGTAATTTGCTTATAGATTATTATAACATTAAGAATTGATAAGGAGAAAAACTAAAATGAACATTTCTATCAATTTGAAAGTTTAAATTTTCAGGGAACTCTAGCAGATGGACTGGAAATTGCTGTGAAGAGGCTTTCTACAAGCTCAGGACAAGGATTGACTGAGTTCAAGAATGAAGTAAAATTGATTGCAAAACTTCAACACCGCAATCTTGTAAAGCTTCTTGGATGTTGCCTTGAAGAAGAAGAAAAAATGCTGGTTTATGAATACATGCCTAACAGTAGCCTTGATTCCTTTATTTTTGGTATGGATCCAAGGAATTGTATATTTAGATGGTTAAATGTAGTAAATAATTTGTGTCCCTTAACAGCTTTTCACACTAGAATTATTTTAGACCATATAATCAAATTGGAGGGTTTTTTTTCTGATGGGAATATGGCAGATCAACATAGAAGTGGATTACTTGACTGGTCAAAGCGCTTCCACATTATATGTGGAATTGCCAAGGGCCTTCTCTATCTTCATCAAGATTCCAGACTCAGGATTATTCACAGAGATCTCAAAGCAAGTAATGTTTTACTTGATAGTGAGTTGAATCCAAAAATTTCAGATTTTGGCATGGCTAGAATTTTTGGAACAGATCAGAAAGAAGGAAACACAAGGAGAATAGTGGGGACTTAGTAAGTGAAATAAGTGTTTTTACAATAAAGCAGAATTCATAACATGCTGTTTTCTCCTCGTTAGTGGCTTCATTTCAAAATGTTTTCTGCAGTGGTTACATGGCACCAGAATATGCAACTGATGGGCTATTTTCAGTAAAATCTGATGTTTTCAGCTTTGGAGTTTTGTTGCTAGAGATCATATCTGGGAAGAGAAGTAGAGGATATTATAGTCAGAACCACAACCATAATCTCATTGGCCATGTAAGTTTGAGAGACAAATTGTTAATTCACAGTGTATCAAACAGTTGTTTCTTCTTTAACAAGAAATCTTTAATGTCTTTCAGGCATGGAAACTCTGGAAAGAAGGAAGACCACTAGAACTGTCTGATACAAGCCTAGAAGACTCTTGTTTTCTATCACAAATATTGCATTGTTTTCATGTTAGTCTCTTGTGTGTTCAGCAGCATCCAGAGGATAGGCCTGGAATGTCATGTGTGATCCTAATGTTAGCTAGTGAGTTTGAATTGCCTGAGCCCAAACAGCCAGGATTCTTTGGAAAAGATTCGGGAGAAGCAGATTCCTCCACAAGTAAGCAGCAACTGAGTTCAACAAATGAAATAACCATTACCCTCTTAGAAGCCCGATGATATTCCTTTGCTAAGCACAATCCATGTTGTATATAAATGTAGATTATTGTATTAGAAATTAACTCAAGGTCAAGGACTATATTCTCTCACTCTTTTTCTCCCTTCCTTTACACAGAAAGAGAACATCAAAGCTAGAATATGCAAGAAGCTGCAAATATGATGGTACAAAAAATAAATAAATAACAATACATTTGTCACAAAAGTAACCAAAAAATAACAGAGGGATCAAACACTTGCATGTTGTTCAGCAATAGCTACATATTAACATCAGGTATTCACTAAATATCATTTCTCTGTTTCTTTCCTTTTTTTTCCGTCAAAAGAAATAATTAAAAATTTAGCTATGTTGAGATAACACAAGATGCAATTCTTCAAAATTACCTAGCTCTTAAACTATGTCAGAAAACTCCAATCAAGTTCACTGATCCTTTAGAAGAAATTCTTATATTTTGATACCCCTCCCTCCTTGAAATGAAGCTATCCTGCGAAATGTGTCTTTGAGTATTAGGGTCTATTTGATTGTATTCTAATTTTTTTGTAGTTCTTAAAACTGATTTATAGAATGGTTATGGAAATATGTGTTTTCTGTGTTTTTTTTTTTTTTTTTGAAAGTGGAAAGTCAAAACATAAAACAAAAATAACCTAGACATATTTTCTAAATTTGATTTTAAAAACAAAAAAAAGTTACAATTTTTTTATAAAAAAAATTACAAAACAAGCCTTATCAAACAGGTATTTTTATTTTTTTAATTCTGAAAATCAAAAAATTATTTTTAAAAAAAGTATTCAAATAGGGCCTTAGCTTCTAGATACGCTCTCTAATGAAATTGCATAGTGTGAGGCCAAGTCCATTTTAGTGAATTTGGTTTTGTTCAGCATTCTAGCTAATTTTACCACTGTAGGGATGATAATATACGGAAAAACAATGACATCAAGCTTTTATTGGCCTGGTTCTATATCTGACTAAAACTATGTCTTGAAATAGAGCAATAGAATCAGCAACACTCGCTGGAAAAATTATCTGTCCTCGTAAGATGAGATATGCATGAGAAGTTATAATAACTACCCAAAGTCTCCAATTTACCGTTACAAAAAATTTCAGGTATTTAACTCCCCAAAAAGGGTTAGGTCTCAGTGTGCTCTTACAATCTCAAATCCCTCAAAAGGTAAAAAAAAATTCCACTCTAAGAACCTTTGAGACAATTTTTAGAGGTGAAGGATCAGCTAACATAAATGACACTCATTATTAGCAATTGATTTGAGTTTCACTTCACGTTATATGTTAGTTGCTATTAGTAATGGAATAAGACTTTTAAACTTAAAATAGCGTAAGTTGACTCTCCTCATTATTTAAAATGAAAAAGAAATGAAAAGTGAGAAATAAAAATATAAAACATCAAGGGAGAAATAAACACGAGTTAATTATTTTAAAGGTTTAATATTTCTGATTTTACTTATAGAAAAGTTTTTTTCTGCCACACTCACATAATAGTGAGTAAATTCCATTATAGTTTTACTAATTTTTTGTTAAAAAAAAATTTATGCGGTAAAAGCAGAAATATCTTTATCTTATTTTAATAACTTAAATTTCCCTCAAAAGTGAGGTTAGGCCATTTGGGATTGATTAGTGTGTGTCCGGGTAATACCTGGGGACAAAACGAATTTTCCTTAAAAGATGTTTTGTCTAATTGAGATTTGAGGGACACCTCATAGTCTGCAAAGAGCAATTTATAAAAGCATTAGGTAAACGGGCGTAGACAAGTAGGGCTAGGCCCTCACTTTTTACCCAAACAAAAAAAAAATTATTTTTAAGTTAAGGTATATAAAAAAAAAAATACTTAAAAAATATACAAATTTTGATGGTTTTAAAAAGGAGGTAGGTAGGTAGGTAAGGGTGCTAAACGAACTAGGAGTCTTTCAGGGATCTTAGGCTCGGCTCGAGAAGGTTTGGACTTACATGTCTAAAATTAGTTATTGGAACCAGCTTGAATTTGTATAAAAGCTCGTTTAATAAAAAAGCTTTCAGCTCTAATTCAAAAGTTCGGCCTTAGAGTCTCTTAGGTTGGCCTAGTATACTAACTTTTATTTTTATTTTATATTTTTTATACTATTCATAATAAATCTCTCTCTCTTCTCAACCCATTTCACCTCATTTTTCTGGTTAAACAAAGTTTTTGAATTTTTTTGTTCTATATTATGTTTTTTAGATATAGATTGAATTTATGAATCTTTGTGAAGTTATTAGTGTTGTTGATCATATATTTTGTTTGAATAAATTTTTGTGTCTTTTTTTTTTTAAACAGGCTCACAGGCTTTTATTTTTTATAAAGAAGACAGGCCACAGGCTGATAATTATATTCATAATAGGTAACAAGTTAGGTCAGGCTGACACATCTTATATTCTAAGACAAACTCATTCTTTGGCAAGTCTGCTGACGTGTCACTTCCTCCTTCAATTTCAGCTTTGCGTTCACACTACAAAAATTTGAAAACTTTCCTTCTTTGGTAAATCAGTGAAAAAAAATTATAAAATAAAATCTAATTTTGAATGAAAGTCGATGGACAAGATTTCATAACTCAAATCAATGGTACAAATTTGTTATAAATTGTAGTGGCAGACAGCTCATTTAAATTTGAATTTACGAGTTGAAAATTTAAATTTGATTTTTGAAATCTGACAACTCATTTAATGTTGAGCTACTTTCTCCATTGGAATTGCTAAACATTTAAAAAAAAATACATCTGCTTCTCATTGTTCTATGCGATTGCTTAGGGGCGATTTTGTTGCTCCTCTTCATTTTTTCCTTTTTTTGCCTCTGACACATATCAGTGAAAACATACAGCCTCCAAGAATCAGCTTCTTCGTTCTCTCTTTGATCGTCTTACCAATATGTTTTTAAAATATAATTTTCTGAAGGATGTCAGTCCTGCCAAGCAGGGGCGGACCGAGGGGGGTGCTAGGGTAGGCAGCCGCCCCCCTCAAAATTTGAAGAAATTTTTTAACACAAGTATAATGCAAAAAATCTTCATTTTTTTCTCTTCATTAATGTGGAGTAGTTTTCTCCCACTGCAGAGAGTTGATAGAGTTTCTTTATATTTTTAGATTTATTTAAGATTACATCACAGTGTTGAGAGTACCAGTGACCACCAATAGAGCTACATGGTTTCTCTTAGTTCAAATTCTTTTAGCTACTTGGCTCTTGTTTGTTGGCACAAACCTGGTGGTAACAATTAGCATATGGAATTAGCCTTAGATTATGGGGAAAGATTTGTTTACAATTTTTTTTACAAATTACACTAAGTATGACCAGTCATACACTCTTGATTAAAGTATGACGATCAGACACAGTATAGTTTGTAAAAGTTTCTAAATGAAAAGTTTGTAAATATAACATTTCCCTTATTTAAACCTCGACTTGAAACTAACAGTTTCAACTTTTATTATGCTTAGATGTTAGCACAAATCTTCCCATCCATGAATAAAAATAAGAAGTCCGAGAGCCTTATGAAAGAATGAACCTTATTCTTTCGATCCCTCTCCTTTTCTTGTGATTCGTGACAAAGAGAGAAGTGAGGGGCAGCAGAGTTTTGGTGATTGTGTTTCTTGACAATCTGTCTCTTCTGATTTATCTTTGGCTTTTTTTTCTTGTTGGGCTAATAGTGAGTACATAGAAAAAGAGGTTAAGAAATGAGAGGGTTCTGCTTTGAATTATCTATTTAGATTATAGTACATATTTTTTGTGAAATCTAAACCTTTGCTCTCTTCTCTTTTTCTTTGCATAAAAAATGTTTATTTTAGGGGTTGAAAAGGTGTAATTTTTTTCAAATTGATAGTAGATTTTGCCGTGACAGCTTCCACCTCTCTCTCCGTCTCCTTCTTTCTCTCTATAACAAGTTAAAAAAGGTATTTATAAGTTATGTTCTCTAGATTGGTATTTCGGCCTCCCACATATTGTGATTGAAGAGAGGAACAAATGTTTAATTTTAGCCCCCCACAGGAAAAATTCTTGGGTTCGCCACTGCTGCCAAGGAGGACTGGAGGATTAAGGTGAAGGTGGTTCGGGCTTGGAAAGTTCCTAACTTTCAACGTAGAGATTTTGACGACAATGTTGAAATGGTTTTATTGGATGAACAGGTAGTTGTCTGCGTTTTTTAAATCATGGTTCTTTGCGTTTTTTAAGTCTTCCATCTTTTGTGAGTTCGCTGCGTTCTTTTGTAGGGTGGTAGGATAATAGGGAATGAACCCTAATGGCAGAAGAAGAACAGAGGAAATTGAAAAGAGAATTCCAGAATTTTTAACAACCCCTGAAACGTCTGTTTACATGTATCTTATACCTTGCCATTCACTTTGGCATGACACGTATTGCTTTGTATCTATGGGCCCTTACCGGTAAGGCTATTAACAGAATACTAATTCCTGAACAATACAGAAACAACTAACTCAGTAAAACACACGTAACCTACATCATAAGCTGCATCCCACACGTGTCCTTCATTACAAGTTTTAAGCTACATAGTCACTTAAACGAGTGGACATCTTCTTCTCTCTCACTGACCTTCTTACCGTAACATTCCCCTCTCCTTGACAAAGAACCTTGTCCTCAAGGTTCAGGTGTGGATAGCAACGACTGAGCTCATCAATAGGCTCCCAAGATGCATCCTCTGGCACAGCTTCGGACCATTGCACCAAGGCTTCACGATGCTGAGAAGTGCCATCAGTGACCACACGTGATCCAAGTACTGTCAAAGGCTCCTGCACGGGTTGATTATCAATGGCAGCTGCTGGAAGAGAGGCTCCCACCCATGAACTAGAACCCACATAAGGTTTGAGTAAGGAAATATGGAATACAGGGTGAATTTTGCACCCTGAAGGAAGTTGTAGCTGATAAGCTACAGGTCCTAGCACCCTTGAAACTGGAAATGGCCCAAAAAACCGTCGTGCCAACTTGTGATTCGATCTCCTAGCCACTGAAACCTGACGGTAAGGTTGTAGTTTAACCCAAACTTGATCACCCACTGCTAAGGACCGCTCCTTATGATGCTTGTCATACTGAACCTTCATCCTGTTGCGAGCACGTTCCAGCTGCAACTTTAATGCAGCCAACAC